GTGTTAGAACGAGCCGTTTTAGGGGGGCGTGGCAGAGTCTTAACTTTGATAAAGAATATCTCTTTGGTTTTGAGACTTTAGTCTTTGCAACTTCAGAGATCTTATCTATGCACAATCAGCTTGTAACACTCCAAAGAGAAAGGAAAACTTGAAATCGCATCATATGACCCCTTTAAACTCAATAAATATAACCACCATGAGTGCCATCTATTATTGCCTTGTTTATCTAAAAGTGCACTTTTCCTTGTTTTAAATCTAGCCACAAAGCCATGTGTTGACTGTGAAACAGTAGACTTTAATTATATGCATGTATGGTGTAATTACTAAATTTCCGTGCCAATCCATGTTATTTTTTACTGCGAATAATGCACTGTCACTTTCAGCGCGTGCAGCACAGAAGAAATAGACTCGATCGCAGCATGACTGCTGCAGACGCACCGCTCCTGGAGCACACTGCCTGACCGCAATCGCGTGCAGTGTGAACGCTCTGATCTGATAACATGGGCATGGAAAAAATACGCACCACAGACGGAGTGTGTGAACCTGGCATTACGTCTGTATGCCCGCCCGGTCTGTTCTGTTCTCGTGCTCCATTTAGGATTGTGATTGGTTTGGATAGCATACTGCGGGAGGTCGGGGGCACAGAAAATCGTGCTATAAAGCGATTTAGAAATCGCGCACGCTCAAATCGCGATTTTATGACGATTTTGATTAATTGCACAGCCCTACTTCATACTATCATGCATTTATTCTTACATCCTGGAAGTTGCACTATTGTGTGTGTGTTTAACATAAGCCCTACAGAAGCAGACAGCCGTCGTATTTCAGCGTCTCTGCATGTTCAAACAGAGTTGCAGCTCAACATGTACAAATGCTCCAGGCATGACGGAAACTTCATCATCATATGCTTAACAAATCTCTCAATCAAACCATCACTCGCATTAACCTTCCGCTGATATTTACTGGATAATGTAATTCCTGTGAGTCACCCACCTGACAACTCATCACAACCTCCCTCAACACTCACCTTCCTCACGCCTGTGACTCGCTTCTCTGAATGTCAGCGGGAAATAAAAGAGTCCACTTCACCATCCATGTAATGATTCACAAGCTGAACAGAATGAATGGAGGAAATGACACACTTCATAGCAGCTCATTTCCTGTGGAACTGGACAAATGCATCTCAATCCAAAGGTCTCCCACTCACAAACACACACACACTTTGAGATCCATCTGTTAAACTCACAAGCGACAATAGCGGCCCTTTCCTTTAGCCACTATGGGCATATAATAGTGTGTGTGTGTGTGTGAGCATCCTTTTCCTGACCCTGCTGTATCAGGACACACCTTACCATCTGACTTCCTCACACTCGCAACCTGCGATTCCACTCAACCAAACACACACACACACGTGTTTACTTTTTATAAATAGGAACGTCATAGACTTTTATGTTTTTGATTTCTATGAACTGTTGTTTTTACATGCGGTTCAATGATGTGATGCCCATTTTATTGTCTAAATCTATTAAATTATTTATTTACTTTTTTGTTCTGTATACAACAAATACAATAAAGGTGTGGAAAATGCAGTGCACTGCCAAAAAAAAAACATGTCTTGAACGACAAACAATTTCAATTTCTGAACTAAAAATCATTTTGATATGTTTTTTTTTTTTTACAAACTGTCTGGAGACTGTAAAAGAAAAGCTGTAAATATTGAAAACATAAGGACTTGGGCATCATTTTTAATTATTATGATTTTTAAAAAACTAAATAAGCACTAAGAAGCAATTTTGTTTTGAAATTATTATTCACATTTGAAAAAAATGTATCTGCCAAATCAAGTTTAGTGTGTGATGTTGTCAACATATAGGAAGCCGTTTTGATGTCATGTGACAAGAAAAACATGAAATATGATGAGAGGTCATTAAGTTGTTTTAAAAAAACAAAACATTTTGGCCTTTTATTTGGCCTTTTTGACACGTTTTGTTCAAATCAAATGGAGTAACAAGAAAATTCATTGATATTTGTGACTGAAATATGATATTGGTATAAAAATACTTGGGAAATGTTTAAAAAATGTTATCCTAATAATAATTAATATGAATTCAATTCAGTCACATGTATTCAATATGCAATGAAAAAACTTGAGAATTATTTGTAATTTAATCAAAAAAAATATATAAAAGAACTGCAGTTTACATTTATAGAAACAAATTGATTGATAAAAACACTAAATATTTATAAACAAAACATGAAAAAGTTCATTAAAAATATTTTAAATTATTTCTCCATTTTCCTCATCTTAGATATCTTTATTTGTCATTGACCCTTATAGACTATTACTACAAACATTGAAACTGCATATATATATATAGACATACAAACATAATATTATATTATATTATAATATTTATTATTTTTCATTAACTGTTCCCTCCTGGTGGAATGACCTGCCCAAAT